GAGCGCATGATTGTAACAGACTACATCAAGGACGTAGTCTGTACCTTCTCCTATGGAGGAGGTGAGCTTAACCATAAGATCTCGTTCTTGGTTAGCGACGACTTGCCATTCGAAATGTTGTTAGGCATGTACTACCTCGAAGTTGCTAAGCCCCAGTTCGACTGGGATAAGAAGGTGCTTAAGCATACGTTGCCCGATGGCCGAACTGTCTAATTGACTAAGTTCAAGGCCAGCAGAATTGTAGATACCTATGGCTGCTTGTGTGCATCAGCGTTCTATAACTACTACAAGCAAAACGAAGAGGAAGGTATGTACGTCGTGTACGTCTCTGAGAAGGGGGAGGCCGTTAAAACACCCCCAGAGATAGAACGCGTCGTTGCTAAGTTCCCCGACCTGTTCGAGGAGCCCACAGGAGTTGTTGATAGGGAAGTCGTCCACGCTATAGAAATCATTCCAGGGAGTAAGACCCCAAAGGGAAGGATCTATAGGATGGCTCCTGCCAAGTTAGATGAACTTCAGAAGCAACTCAAGGAACTGACAGAGAAGGGTTGGATTCGGCCTAGTACTTCCCCTTACGGATCACCCGTTCTATTCGTACCGAAGAAGGGGGGTACTTTGAGGATGTGCATGGACTATAGAGGCCTCAATGCCATCAATGTGAAAAACGCAGAGCCTCTACCTCGCATAAACGACCTATTGGATAGGGTGCAGGGATGCAAGTACTATACAAAGATAGACTTGAAATCCGGATATCACCAGATCGCAATAAGACCTGAGGACCAACACAAGACAACTTTTTAGACTCATTATGGTCTGTATGAGTTTGCAGTGATGCCTTTCGGTCTTTGTAATGCGCCGGGTACATTCCAGCACGCTATGAATCGGATCTTCCATGACCATTTAGATAAGTTTGTCGTAGTCTATCTAGACGACATTCTGATCTTTAGTAAGTCTGCCGAGGAGCACGCACAGCATGTTGAGACAGTTCTCTCACTCCTACGACAGCACAAGTATAAGGTCAACTTAGAGAAGTGCGAGTTTGGCCGCACTAAGATACTATACTTAGGTCATGAAGTATCCGCGGAAGGGATTAGGCCGGAAGATGCGAAGGTGGCTAGTATTCGAGACTGGCCACGACCTCAGACAGTCACCGAGGTCAGATCATTCTTAGGAATGTGCGGTTACTATAGGAACTTCGTCAAGAACTATTCTACAGTCGCCTCTCCTTTGACTGATCTAACTCGACTTGACACACCGTGGGACTGGAGTGATAAGTGCGAGGGTGCTTTCAAGAGATTGAAGCATGCACTCATGAATCACGAAGTTCTCATGGTTCCCGATCCGCAGAAGCCATTCATAGTGAAGATGCCATCGAAGAAGTTGGCCAAGTCCACCTACGAAAGGGAACTCTATGCTGTCTACAAGGCACCTGTCCATTGGAGACACTTCCTTCTAGGAAGGTTCTTCTATCTGAGGCCTGATCATCAGACCCTCAAATGGATCAAGACTCAACCCGGCTCTTTCTGAAGCACTCAAGCGATGGATTGAGGTCATAGACCAATATGACTTCAAGCTTGAGTACCTGAAGGGAGAGTATAACAAGGTTGCAGACGCGCTATCCCGTAGAGCAGACTACCTAGGTGCGCTAGTTTCTGAATTTGGCATATCTAACAAAGTGACTCAATCATTGGTGGGAGCCTATCAGGAAGACCGTGTCACGATGGACATCATCCGCAAACTTCAGGCAAAAGACAAGGCCACAGAAAGTGAGTTTGTGATGGCGGATGGGCTAATCTATCTTGATAAGGCCAAAGTAAAGAGATTGGTAGTTCCATCTAGTGAACAGTTGCGTAGTTTATTTTTTTGAGAATGTCATGACACAACTGGGCACTTTGGCTACAAGAAGACGAGTGCTAATTTAGTACAGCGATTTTGGTGGCCCATAATGTGAGATGACACGAAGAAGTATGTTGAGACCTGTCAGGTTTGTCAGCGGGACAAGCCGCGAACTCAAGCACCGCTTGGGTTATTGAAGCCGTTACCTATTCCTGATGGTCCAGGATTGAGTGTTTCCATGGATTTCATGGACACTCTTGTGACCAGCAAGAGTGGTAAGAGGCACATCTTCGTCATCATTGACCGATTCACCAAGTGCGCTAGACTAATACCAATGCCAGAGACAGCCAGGACGGAGTATGTCATCAAGTTGTTCAAGGACAACTGGGTAAGGGACTTTGGCTTACCAAAGACCATCATTAGTGACCGAGACGTCCGATTTACAAGTGAGCTGTGGAAGAAGACTGCGGAACAGATGGGCAGTCAACTTCAAATGACTTCAGGGAATCATCCCGAAGTCAATGGACAAGCCGAACAGATGAATAGAGTTGTACAACACTTGCTGAGGCATTACATCAAGCCCAGTCAGGATGACTGGGATGAACAATTACCTCTCATCGCCAGCCTGTACAACAACGCTATACATAGCAGTACCGGCGTCAGTCCTAACCAGCTGCACTTAGGATGGAAGCCTAGATCAGCATTAGACTTCCTCCTACCTGAAAACCAACCTGCTGCAACTCCAGGCACACTTGAATACGGTGTGCAATATGAGAAGTTGCTGCAAGAGGCTGTTGAACATATGAAGAAGGCTCAACAAGCCATGATTGCTTTTGAGAATCAATATCGCAGGCAGTCCACATTTCAGGTAGGGGAACGTGTCTGGGTCAAGGCTAGTGAGTTAGGACAGGAATTCGGAGTATCTCGCAAACTAATGCCCCAGTACTTTGGTCCCTGGGAAGTCTTGGATGTAGTGGGAGATGAAATGGATGGCCCTACGTACGTCATTCGTTTCCCTGGTCATCTACGCACTCACCCCGTCTTTCATGCCTCAAAGCTTGCACCTTTTGCTGAGACTGATCAATTCCCTTCTAGGAGATCGATGCTGCCCCCAACCATGGATGGACAAGTCGACATCGACGACATTGTGGATCACAGGGATATGCCTGTTCC